ATTAAGAAATTTGTCTTTTTTTCAGATAATCAACAAATCTCAATTAAACAATATATTCATTAAGAAAAAGCTAATAAAGCACTAAAAATTTATATCAAGCTGGAATAAAAATATTAGTTAAAAATTAAGAGATGTGCAAAAATAAGTGAACCCTTACACTATGTATTTTTGTTTTATATGGTTGCCAGTGCAAATGATTTTTTGTGCACATGTAAAAGTTAAGATGACATGTGCTTATTTTATTTTTGGTAATGTATTCTGCAGTCAACCAATATAACTCATTGTGAATGAAAAAGGGTGTAGTTAGAGACAAAATTTAAAAAAATAGACCAAAATCAAAAAAACTTACTGAAGATTTAAAAAATTGCATAGTTGAAGCCTATAATGATAGAGAAGACTATAAAAAGCTATCAAAACGATTTGGACAAATCATGTGACAAATTATTTATAAATGGAAGGCCTTTGGTATCATGACATTGCAATCAAGAAGTGGTTGTTCACTGAGACCAAACTAAAGCTTTTTGGGAGCTTTTTATAGGCAGTATGTCTGGCAAGCTTCTAATATATCTTTTGAGAAGAATTTAGTGCCAACACTTAAACATGGCAGCAGCAGCATTATGATTTGAGGGTGCTTTGCTGCAGCTGGAACACGCAAAATAGTATGCATTGATGGCTCAATGGACTTAGTAAGATACCAAGCATTTTTGAATGAAAGTAACCTGCTCTTGGTTTGAAAGTTGGGTTTAGGTTGAGACTGGATCTTCCAGTAGGACAATCATCTGAAGCATCAAAGCAAATCCACAAAAGAATGGGTTTGAGAAAATAAAATTCAGGTTTTGAAATGGCCTAGTCAGAGTACTGATCTAAACCCAATTTAAAATCTGTGGTTAAAGAAGGAAGTACATGCAAGAAAGCCAGAATGCCAGAATGTTTCTAGCTTATTAATATGAGCTTGACATAGTTGATTTGAGCTTGTGGGAGTTTTATCAAGAAGAATGGTCAAAAATTGACACTCACTACTGCCTGAAACTTCTTAAAAATTATAGAAAAAGACTGGTCAACATTGTGTCCTCAATAGGAAGAGTCACCAAATATTAAATCTAAGGGTTCAGTTACTTTTGCACATCTTGATTTTTAAGTAATATTTTTATTTCAGCTTGATAAAAAATTTTAAAAGTTGCTGTAATTCTTTAAATAAATTTTTTCCTAATGAATTAAGTTTAATTAAGATTTGTTGATTATCTGAAAAAAAAAAAAAATTTTTTTTAATATTATCTTAGGGGTTCACTTACTTTTGCAAAGCACTGATATATATATATATATATATCCCTCTTTCATACAAGTTTCATTAAAGATGACTGATGAGGTACTGCAATTAACCTTTTTATTTAATTTTTTGTTTTATTCAGATAAGTGTTTTCTTTTCTGGACATAAAGTGTGTAAAAATTGTCCAAATGTTCTGCATATCCAAGCACTTTTGGCTATTCTTTTAGCCATTATTAAGGACAATTTTTATTTTTAACTAAATGTATAGATTTTTTTTATGTATGTATCTAGAGTTATCGGAATGTTTTATTTTCCAAATACTGTCAGCACATTGTAGCCATGTTCATAGTTGATGTTATTGAATGTTGGTTTTTTCTTTTTTATTATTAGCGCATCCATTATTTTTAGTCTTTTTACATGTAGATGAGGCTATTATACTACTATTTTTTATAAGTATGTTGTGGATGGAATTCAGTATGTTCCCATATGTGTTTAAATGAATACTAATTGAGCTACTGTCAGAGAGGGTGTAACATGAGTCTTCTTGATAGGCCTGTAGTGGTATGTCTGATATAATTATTCATGATTTTGATCAGTAACACAATTCCTTAAAGTTCATGTGAATTCATAAATAATATTGGTACTCTGTAATTTAGATCTTGCGGGTGTGTTGTCATTTTTTATGATAAGGTTAGCTATTTAAAGTTTTTTTATAGCAGATAATTAATTTAATTTTCTTGTTCTGGTTGACTGGGTTTGTGTATTTCTTTATAATGTTTTAATGTTCATGTTGCTTATAGTTAATGTGTTTTTGGACTTTATAGAAAACGTTAATGTTATTGTTTTTATCTCTATGTTCAGTATTGCTACTAGTTAATTTAGAAAAAAATAGCCTGATTTGGTGACCGATGAGATAATTCAGAAGACTGTTGTTAACTAACGTCTGTTTCACATTATTGTATTCTTTAAGGAAAAGTGGTCAAGAGGATGAATCCTAATGTGGACACTTGAGGAAATTTTTTATAATGCCTATTTTATATCTAAGAAGGCATTCACTCATAAATTTTAGGTGGCAAGAGTTTCTACTAGTGGGTTTTTTGTATAATGAAGTAATGAATGTGTTACTACTGAATTCTACAAGAACATCTAAGAATGGGAGTTTATTTTTTGACTCAGCTCATAGGTGAAATTAAAGACAGCGGTCTTTCAAATGTGGTTTTGTGATGATCTTTTTTGTTTTTAGCTAAAATAAAAATATCATCTATATAGTGGACATATATTTGGGGTATATTAACATTTTTAGATATCTTGTTTTCTGTGTGGAACATGTAGTAGTTAGAGAAGCATGGGCTGAGTGGATTTCCTATGCTAACACCATTAGTTTGAGTGTAGATATTGTCATTGTGGTTGTAGAAGGAAACATTAGTTATACCGGCATGCTATAATTTTTTGGGAATATTAGGTTTGATGGATGGATGTAGAATTGAATTATTTTTATACACAGAGTTAAAGATTATATTGATGGTTTCATCAACAGGGATGTTTGTAAATAAAGTTTCTGTCAAGTGACGTTAAAATGCTTTGGTTTGGTTGTGTAGTTTTGAGTATTTGAAGAAATTCAGGAGCTGATATGATGCTATAATTGGTAGGTAGATTTGAAATAAACTCCATCCACATGTAGAAAATACAAGAATAATAGCCTCATCCACATGTAAAAAAGACGAATAGTAATGGATGCACTAATAATAAAAAAGAAAAGGCAACACTCAATAACATCAACTATGAATATGGCTACAATGTGCTGACCATGTTTGGAAAATGAAACATTCCTATAACTCTAGATACATACATAAAAAAATCTATATATTCAGTTAAAAAAAATAAAAAATTGTCCTTAATAATGGGTAAAAGAATAGCCGAAAGTGTTCAGATATGCAGAACATTTGGACAATTTTTACACACTTTATGTCCAGAAAAGAAAACACCTATATGAATAAAAAAAATTAAATAAAAAGGTTAATTGCAGTACCTCATCAGTCGTCTTTAATGGAACCTGTGTGTGTGTGTGCTTATATATATATATATGATAAATATAGGTAAATGTATGAGCAAGCATTTGTATATAAATACATATATATATATATATATATATATACACACTCTAAAGTGTAAGAAAAAACAGTGCTCAATGTTAAATAACAGAGCTACACATACTGATGATCATGGTAGCATGAAACTTAAGTAAGCAGTCTGAACTTTGTCTCTTTTGAGGTCTGATGCTGTGAAGCAAATTTTGCTTTGTCTTGATAACCTAGGCATAAAGCACTATCTAAGTACACACTGCTCAGCCTAGGGATTGGTTTAGTGGAAACAGGTCAAGTAGTAACTTTGCACTATTAAAAATAAGAAATAGATGAGATATCCCTCAATATGGCCAGTGAAATGAGAACAATCTACACTAGTAGATTAAATAAAGGGTTCAGTTTGGAATTCCCTGTATGATTCTTGGATAGATATACTTGATGAAGGTCAAAGGGCATAATATCCAAAACTTTGTCATAACAACAAAAAAGATGAAATGTACAGTAAATAGCATAAATAATGAGAACTCCTCATCCCAGAAATTCAAACAGAAAATATCATTTATACTTCAAGTTTAAAATTATTTAAAATTTTAAAACTTTGATCTTATCATTTGCATAAATTTTTGTATTTGTGGTTCAGGTTACTGATATTTACTCAGCTTAGTAGGTTGGAAAGCCGAATGAGGGAGGATTGCGTTGCGCTAATATTTTTGCAATTCAGTCATAATTCTTTCATAGTTTTTTAAAAAAATTTGACTGTAATCAGCAAAAATCCAAGAACACAGTATTATCCCCCACTTCGCATATTTTTTTAGTCATTATCTGTCAGTGCATACGACATTTTCTTTGACTTGTGTTATATTACACTACACCTTCATCGTATTTACTAGGATTTCTGGATTTTGAAACTCCGAAGTTTTTAATTCCGACAGCAACACTACACTCCAAAATTTGTATACATGTGTTCGCGTCATCAATTTTTGTACCGTGACCCAAATTGATGTTGACCCGGAAGCGGAAGTTTAATACACACCATATTCTTCGACCGCTATTTTCTGTCAGTTACTCTCACGTGAATTCCTCCTACTTCAACATTATATGTTACTCAAACTATATCTCTTTAATAAATTTCTTTCTCACTCTGTAATAATTATTCCTGTCACTGTCCCTCTTACTCCTTCTGACCGAACAGACGCTTCTGGACTTACTCGCTTTGCTTCATGGACGACACTTAACTCTGTTTGGATTTTTTTTTCATATTTACTAACTTATACATCCAGTTGCCAAACACTTTCAATACAAATTTAAGAAGGATTACGCATTCTCTCTTCCTTTGACCTGCCCATTGATCTTAAATAGTAGTAGTCTTCTTCTCTTTCTCTCCCTTTCGGTGTAGAGCGGCGGCCCTGTGCCTTGGGTGCGTGAAAGATGAGGAGTGTTTAAAAAATAATCGAAAGAAGAAAAAAAGGAGGACGAAAGAAATATATAAGTAATATATACCCTCACATTTATATCTATTATGCATAGGTAAAACAGTCGCCACTCTTCTTTTTGTCAGAATCAAAGTATTTATTTCATATCGCATCACGTTTACCGACGCATTCTTTTACACTACACTACTTACTCCTAAACTTGTATATCTGTAAATTATGGAAACTTTAATTCCAGTTATTAATAAACTTCAGGATGTCTTCAACACTGTTGGATCGGAAACTATTCAATTACCACAAATTGTCGTTATCGGCAGCCAGGTAAAAGACGTTTAAAAAATATTTTAATCCTCTAGTCTAGTTCTTCACTGTGACTCACTTTTGCTTTTCTTTTTGTTTTTATGATTTATTTTACTTTGAAATTTTCATGATGATTTCATTTTCAATGCATGTGACATGTCATGTATTTTTTCTATTCATTTCTTTTCTTGTGCCAAATCGAAAGTAACTCGCTTGTTGGTCCCTTTCTTTCAGTGACTCTCTAGCATTTTTAACCAGCCTAGCCTACAAATTGAAGTAACACAACATCAACCCACTCTTACCCTCGATTAATCATCGTGTTTTAGTTTTAAGGAAGTACTGATTGAACGACAAAGAAAAAAAGATCATTACATTAATTTATTTTGCTTATAGATTATCAAACAATCATTTTTCAGGCACACTCGCCTTATGTGAAACAATGTGATCGAAAAATTTAATTGATATGAAATACATTTTTAATTTTGTGCCATCATATTCCTAAAATCTAAATTTGAGATCTTTTTGTCGCTGTCTTTAAATCACAGAAATTAAATATTTTATTTACATTTTCTTTTTGTTATTCCTAACCAAAATATTTCATTTTTTTGGGGGTTTTTTTTTAAACCTAAATTCATGAGTCATTGATCACTTATTTTACTTTGCTACTAACTCAACTGAATGGTAGCTTTAAAAATAAAAATCAATCTCCTGTTGCTGCAGCCTTTTTAAAACAACAGAACTAACTGATTCTTTATATCTTAAATAACCAAGAAAAATATATTCTAATTAATAAGAAAGGGTTGAAAATTTTCTTGTATTTCATATTTTCAATGAATTATTCATATTCTTTCAAATTTATTCATTTTCTTATCAATGTAATTCTGATTCACTGATTTAAGAATTCTTTAATTTGTAGTTAGAGATGATCTTTTTTAGTCTTTTCCTTAGTTACTTGTTTGTTTTTTGTTTTTTATTTTATAAAATAATAAAGATCTGGAATCCATGTGACGATACCTGCGGAAATTTATGCAAAATGTGCTTTTTTTATTATTGTGAAATTATTTCATTTTGACTTTCTAGCTTCTTAGCGCATTACTACTCAACTACTTTTTATGACAATGTTTTCACTTCAGCCGATACTTTCTTCGGTCGTTAAAAAAGTGAAATGCACAAAGTACGTAGCTTCCGATGCGAAAAATACTGACAATTTTTTTTTTTAATGTATTCTTACTTAAAACTCGCATAACTAACGAAAAAATAAATAGTAATAGAAGGGTGCATGATTATGATGACTATTCGTTTCGAGTATGGGGGTTGAAAAGTTTAGTTATTGAATTTTATTTTTCCTTTTTCGTCAATGAAAATTCATATTCCTTCACTCAAATCAAATTTAATTTATTCATTTGATTATCAACCACAATGTGATTCACCGATTATCCAGTTGATTGAGGTAAAAATAAAGAAAATAATAACAATTTTATTATAAATTTCTTTATTTTTTAGATGTTTTTTTTTTTTTACTTAGTTACTTATTTAAATTTTTTTTGTAAGTATAAACTAAAAAAAAAAAAATTGTCCCGTGAATAAATTAAAGTTCTTTAGGTAGGTTAGGTACATTAATTTATTTGTAACTTGTTCATCATAGTGATCAAAAAGTGTCCTATTTCTCGGCAATTGTTTTCACTTCTACAACTAAATACCTGAAATGTTTTCGGTAAATTTTTGTCGTTATTTTTTCAGTTCACTTAATTGTTTTTCCTTTCAATCTCTAAATGAGTTTTAAATTTACAGAAACAAACTCAACTTACCTCTGCCAGATTAAAATCGAAACTAAAAACTTTATCTTCATCCTGAAGATGATTGTATGCGTGCAGACACGTACTATCTAAATTTTAAAATGTAAGGTTTTCTGTGGCTCTTTTTAAAGATTGATTCCATCTGAGTTACAAGTCTTTCCATATCAATCATAGTCTTCCAAAAGCAAAATGGTTTTTGAATTGCACTTTACTAATACTAATAGGGTAGTGGAGGTAGTAGCAAATTCGTATGAATAACTGACCTTCAGAAGTGCTATTTAGTCCGCTTCTTTCTTTCTTTTTCTTTTTTTTTCTTTTCTTTTTTCGCTTAACTAAAATAAAACTAAAAGTCGATCAATTTATCAAAATATTTTGTTATCTCTCTCCTTCCTTTTTAATGACAAATTGTGTCTTTAGAATGAATTAATGCAGTCGTGTAGTTTTTGGAAACAATTACTTTTTAAAAGAGAAATGACAGCTTCTACATTTTTTTTTTTTTTTTTTTTTTTACCATGTCTCTATTTATTAGTCTTCTTATCGTTTTCTTGTCTTATTCTGCTTATAAATCAGAAAGCTGAAACAAAAAACAAAATTTACATAAATTTGTCCTTGAATTGTAAATTTGATACATATTTTTCTAGTTTTTTAGCCTTAAAAATACTTCGGTAATGATTTGAGTTGACTTATCTTTCTTTATGTTCATTCTAGTGACCTACACTTCGTCATTGCATTTATTAGTTAATAGAGAGTGTTACACTTTTGCTTTTATTTTTTATTTTAACGTAACCAGTAGCAGTTATGGGACCTCAGTGTATGACATCGACCTGCCTCAGATAGGACAAGCGAAGCGGTCTTGACACATGAGCTTAGTTTAGGTTGTAAAAATCTGTTAGTGTGTCTGTACTTGAAAAATTAAGTCTGATGGCTCACTTTTAAAAAAGAAAAATTAATTGTTTATGTAATTTTGCCCAATTACTTGCTGATTAAGTGGGAATTCTGGGTTCGAAGTGGAACACTAAAGGGAAGAACACTATTGACAACATCAGAAATCCTCCCGAGGAAGGAAGATAAAAAAAGAAGTGTGGGTGACAAATGAAATTTTCAATTTTAAAGAGATAGCAATATAATGCCAATGACACGGGCGAAAAAAAGGTCAGAAACGCGAGCAATCGAACAAAAAAGAGGAATGGCTTTTTATGAAGAAAGAGAAAAAAAAACGATGTGAAAGACAAAACGTGCACTTTGGCAGGATGTACAAAATTTAAAAAGGGAGCAAGTGCAAAGGAAAAATAAAAAATACAAGGTAACTGGTAACTATAGTGGAATGAGTACACTGGCACTCTCTTCTCTGACAACAGAGAAGAGAAACCTACAATATATAAAGCATGGAAGGATCCATGGTATTAAACTAAAATCTGAGTTTAGAATAGCGCTGGTCAAGATAATGAAAATTAACAAAGTAGCAGGGCCCAATGAGATTGCAATAAAGATGCTGACATCCTTAGATGGTTTTGAAATTGATAAGGTTACCAAGGTGATAAATGAAAATATGACAATGGCTGATCTCAGTAGATCAATCTTTATAACAATGCTAGATGTTAAAGAATGCTAATGCCTTTCAACAATCTACTTCATTAATCACATAAGAAAACTAATAATTAAGATTTTAATGAATAGGGTTTACAATGTAACTATATTCAAGACACTGGAACAATAAATGTAATCTTCATGATCAGAATACTCTCATAGTGAGCAATAAAGGTACAAAAAGATCTATCCCTATGTTTTATAGATTATCCAATACCTTTATATAAAGTATGGCAAGAACTTGAAACATTAAGGAAGCTTGACCTAAATGGAAAAGATATTCAAATAATCTGACTTTTATTGAGAAAAAACTTCTTTCATGTGGATATAGAATGAGTTAAGTGAATACCCTAAAATAGATAGAGGAGAACAGTGAGATTATTTTAAGAGGTTTAGAAGATTTACCAGTATTTATTATTGGCAATTGTAGCCTTAATAATATACACTATACTGACAACACTGTTGATGGCAAATTCAGAATACAAGCTGAAAGAATAGATGAGTTAGGTAATGAAAGCAAGTAGAAAAGATTAAACTTTAACTGTAAGATGATACAATGCATGGTTGTCAACAAAAGGGGCAGCCCATGATGTGATTTTCCTGTCGGGAACATCAAAATCAAGCAAGTATGAAAATTTATCTATTTGTGTAGTATAGTCACAGTTGACAGAAAGTGTGACACTAAAATCAGAAAGCACATATAATCGTGAAATCTGCTTTTCAAAAAGATATTAAGGGATTGAAAAATGTCCTTAGAAATAAAGAAAAAAGTATTAGATTGCTCTGTAATATCTAATCTAAGTGTTAATGCATGTTAGAAAATTTGAAGAAAAGGTGTAGTTCTACTGGGTGCAGAAGTGGCAATGGTGTCTTCATCTAGTTAATGTTTTACCATTATGTGGGAGGTATTTCTGACACAACCTGTATTAATGAACATTGAAAATACCATGGACTGAGTTTGTGAGAAAGAAATTACTGCTTACAACCAGAAAAAGAGCATTTTTGTAGCACTACAAGACAAAAGATAGGAAATTGACTTTTGAAATGATAGTAAATAAATATTCAATTCCACAAAATTATTTTAAACTATTGAATATTTATTTTTGAAGCATAACTGAGTTTTGATATAAGGCTACAGGTATAGAACAACTATTGCACAATGATGAGGCAATTAAGCTGATAATTAGTAAAGTAACTTTTTATAGAGAAGCTCTCCCTCTCCTCCATATTGATTGAAAACATTGCCCATATCCATTCATGACAGAGCTCAAACCTCCCCTGTAAATACCAGCTCTCAAAATCTCACTGTTTGCATGACTTCCTGTGTTATTTGTGACGGTATCATCATATATTATGGCAGAGTATACATAAGGTGGATTATGGCAGACTGAACATTAAGAACTGATATTTATGAGGTAGGTTTGGGCAGGTTGAACACAGTGGGCTCATATTGGGGGTCAAGCAGACATTTTGGGAACACCTCATCTGTTTATGGTGATTAAGTGCTTGTTGGAAGCATTTGAGGGAGTGGAATACAGAGAAAGTAATTTGATTAAGAAAGATCCAAAATTTTTGGGTTCTGGGGCCCAAAAACCACAACTTAGGGATATTGGGCCCAAATCCTGAAAACATGTTTGT